GGACCTGGGGAGACAACCCCGTTGTTCCTCACCTTTTCTCCTGGTTTATGGGAGCAGCATCCCAAAGCTCTCCAGCGCTGCCATGGGAGCCGTGTGTGTCCCACCTGAGCCTGTGGGCAGCTCCTGCTTGGGGTCTGTTGGGGCTGTTTCTGCTGAGTGATGACATGGACTGTGGCTGGGAGTTTGTCCTGTAATGGGAAAATATTCCCTGGTCATTGCCAGATGTTGCAAAAATGTTGTACTTCCTGTGAGGGGAAACAGAAGAGAACACCAGACAGTGTTTGTTAAGTGCATCCTGGGAACCACTCGCCATCATGTCAGGAATTGTCCCCTTATGAATCAAATACTTTATCAGTGCTGATCACTCCATAAGCTGCCATTGCAATTGCTGCAGGGTATTTTTAATTGCCCCAACAGTGTGACAGTATTCAGCTTATTCAACCTCTCCCTCCATGCTGGGGTGCTGGGCTGGGAGCCAGCAAACTTTAATTCTTACACAAAACTGGTTTTCTTGTCTTTCAGAATTATCCAGCAGCTGGTCAATGGAATTATTGCACCGACCACAATTCCAAACCTAGGCCTGGGCCCTTGGTGAGTTGGAGGATGTGCTGCTCTCTCTGACAGTGTCTCGTTGATGCTCCAGGATGAACTCACTTGCTGTCCTTGCTCTTCAGGGGTGTCCTGCACTCAAATCCGATGGACTACGCCTGGGGTGCCAACGGCCTGGATGCAATTATCACACAGGTAAAAGTGGGATTCACCGCAGTCTCCATCCTCCTGTGCGGTGCTGCACGAAGGACAGCACCTGTGGTGGTGCAGGGAATGAGGGGCTGCGGAGACTGGAATGGGAAAGGGTCCACGCTGCAGGGTCCAAGTGCCCTGGCTCAGGAAACGAGTGGATTCTGTGTGCTGCTGAGCTCACCTCTCTCTTCTGCCTGCCTGGCCGGTTGTTTTTCCAGTTACTGAATCAGTTTGAAAACACTGGACCTCCGCCAGCAGACAAAGAAAAGATCCAGGCCCTCCCCACCATACAGATCACACAGGAGCACGTAGGTACGTGTCTGCTCCATGGAGTCATGCACAGAGTGCTCCCTGGAAGCTCTGTGTAATGTTTTCTTGGGACTTGAATTTTTGTCTGCTTGTACCTTTGAGGCATAAAACATTTCAAAGTGGGCAGAGAGCTGAAGGGGCTCTGTTGCACTCACACGAAAAAAGAGCAGTGTAGGCTGGATGCATTTGCCCTGGGGAGGTTGTGAGAAGTTCAGTGTGGATAGAGATGGAAAAGCAGAAGGGAAGGATGAGGCGTACCCGGGGCTGGAGGAGGTGGGGTGATGATGTGGGGACTGCAGAACACCAAGCTTTCCTCCTGCCAGGGATGTGGGGAAGGGGAGAGGGATGAGGAGTCCTGAGTTTGGGGGCTTTGTGCGTGGTTCTCTCCTCCTTTACTCAGCTGGGTTTGGCTTTCCCTGTGCATTGCAGATTCCGGGTTGGAGTGCCCTGTGTGTAAGGAAGACTACACAGTCGGTGAGAACGTGCGGCAGTTACCGTGCAATCACCTGTTCCATGACGGCTGCATCGTCCCGTGGCTGGAGCAGGTGAGTGCGTGGCCGTGCCTGGGGTGTGCAGCACTGGGGGCTTTGTCTGGTCCTGCTCTCTTCTGTAAATGTTTTCCTACCTCCATGATGAGGCCTGAGCACGAGCAGCCTGAGGTCAGAGGATGGAGTGTCATCCCAGCCCGTTCCTCGAGTGCTGCTCCCCTATTGTGTTTCTAATCCCATTTCCCATATTTCTTGTTTTGTTTTTTGTCTGCTCCCCAAAGCATGACACGTGTCCCGTCTGCCGGAAAAGTTTAAGTGGACAAAACACTGCCACAAACCCCCCAGGACTCACAGGGATGAACTTCTCGTCATCCTCCTCCTCCTCCTCTTCCTCCAGCTCACCAAGTAATGAAAACTCATCGAACAACTCATGAATCTTAATGCACCCTCTGTCCCTGGGGCCCTTCCACTGTTCCCCCTCCCTCCCTGGCCACCGTGAGCAACCAAAGGGGCTTCCAGAGCAGAGCGAGGGGAGGGGATGAGGCAGGAGCAGTGCCCCCAGAATTTCCTTTTGATTTCTGAAGACACGGAGACTCTGGGTCCTTCAGAGATGAGAAGCCTCAAGTTCTGTGATGAAAAAGGGGGGAAAGAGCTCTGTCTGTCAATAAAAACATCCTCTTTGCGTGGACTTTACCCATTGCAGTGCGAAGCTGCTGCGCTCCCTGGCTGGGAACCCTGAGGTGCTGAGCGAGTGGTTGAATCCCGAATGGAAAGGTTGTTTGTATGGGTTTGAATTTGAGATCCCTTTCTTTTATTTCTTTTGCTCCTCCTCCCCTTGGATACTATCTTTTCTGCTTTGGAGATTGAAGTCTAAAACGGAAGCATAAGGATGCTGCCTCCCCCCAGGATCGCCATCTGGGGAGGACCAATAGCTGTCACTGAAACAGGAACTCTCAAGTAGACCCCAGGATCCTTCCCTGTCCCATCTCGAGTCCCATTTATTTCTCTTTATAACCTCGCCCACTGATACTCAACACTGAAAGGGGTTTTTATAATCTTAAATTATTACTGTTGTCAATAAATGGACATTTCAGCTCTGCGAGCCGTTATGCATGATTTGAGGAAAGCTACAGGGTAAGCTCTGAGGCCACCAAGCTGTCCTGCCTCCCCTGGGCAGGTGGGGCCTCTCTGAGCCCTCCTGCATGCTGGGAGTTCCAATGGGAGCCACTGCCAGCCTGTGGATCACTGCACAGGTAGCCAAGGATCGCAGCTGGAAGTATCCTCGCCTGGTGTTTTCTATTTTTTACACCTTCCTCCCTTTACAGTCCTGCCCCCCTCGCAGTCAGGGCAGGCTGTTCTGCTGGGCCAACACAGGACTGGGTGTGCAGCAGAACGAGGACCAGCAAATCTCATTGTGACCGAGTAATTACCAGGAAAACATTTTGGAGAACAAAAAAATGTATTGCAAAGCTACTTAAAATAGAGCTGATTAAAACAAGGAGAGAGGGACAAATATCCAGGTATGTTTGTGACTCAGTTTCTGTGACAGAGCTGGAGCTCAGAGAATGACAACAATGTCACTGGAGTGGGCAGTGACTCCCTGCCATGTCCTTGCTTCCTGGGCCCTGAGGCATGAGGAGCTCTCACCATCCATCACCGGGAGCCCCTTCCCCTCGCAGGGACTTGGGGTGGTCAGGAGGTCTCCTAAAGGGCTGGGGGTCCATGATGGTGCCACATGTTGGGACTGCTCTGTGGCAGAGGCCAGAGCATATGAGGGAGAACCTGCCCCCACGGGAGCTGCCAGGGAAGTGGGTGGAGGGTTTGGCATTTTTTGGGGTTCCCTGCCTCTCCCTTGGCTTTTGGGGCCCTGGGAGTGGGCTGGGGCTGCTGGGGAAGGTGCTGACTCCAGCAGAGCTTGGGTGTCTTCTAAACCAGCATCACCCCAGGACCTGGCCCTTCCATGAGCTTCTTGAGAAGAGATGAACCTCCTACAGGAGGGGGAAGGATGGTTTGGCTTTTCTTGAGCCATTTCAGAACGCAAGCAATTGGTTTGTTGGAGAAAGTGTCACCCACTGTGCCAGGGCCAGGGGCTGACAGGGAGTGACTTGCCCGGACTGTTTTTCTTCCTTGGCTTGGCCAGGCAGCGTGGCGGCGCCTTTCATCTCACAGGAGGGTTTATCTCAGGACTGGTGTGTCGGGGTTAATGGCTCATCCTCTGCCAGGGGTTGAGCCAGAAGCCTGGGCTGGTGAGGTGGGCGGCAGCAAGAAGGTCCTGGCTGAACCTGCACATGTCCATCGGCTGACCTGACACTGGGGGAAGGCTTTGCTGTTTAGTTGCCAAAACAAGAGACCTGGAAAAACCTTCCCTCTCCCACTGTGTTTCAGCTGTGACGGGGGGTTCCTGGCTCCCCCAGGCGCTTGGGGATGATTGCTCATGTGTGAGCAGTGCTCAGATGGCTTCCAAGTGGGCCGAGCAATGTCCTAGGGGGGTGCATGGCAGCTGCTGCCCACCTGGCAGGGGCTCACCACAGTCACCACATGGTTAATACAGTGTCAGTTCCCTCTCAGACTCGTTTGGAGCTGGTTGGGTCAGAAATGGAACGAGTTTGGTGGTTTTTGCTGGGGCCATTGCTCTGTCTGACGTGACAGTGACCGGGCTGCTGGGCCTGGCCACAGCAGGTGTGAGGTGGCGCAGGGATGTACCCTGACCAGGAGACTGAGGTGCAGGTGCTGTTCCTGGCCATACTGCCCTCCAGGTGAGGGGCTGGTCCTCACCACTGTCCACTGTCCCAGCCCTGTTTTTGTTGGGGATGAGGGCACAGAGCTGGGCTGCAGAACTGACACTGGCATTGGCTTTGGCCAGGGGCAGCCCTGGAGGTGTGTCTGGCTGAGGATCTGGGCTGGCTCCTGCTCCTCCTGCTCCCTCCTTTGTGCCACTGAACCACCATTGCTGTTTTCCTGCAGGGTGGGTGGGGGTCGGTGAAAAGCTGGGTGTGGCAAAGGACCAGCTGGGCTCCCTGCCAATGGCAGCAGGGATGACACTGGTGGCTGCAGCCACATCCACACGGGAGCCAATCCCTCCCATCCCAAGCCAAGTTCACCATCAAAGCTCCAAGACCTGCTCCTGTTCCATACCATGAACACAGTTTTAATTGCCACGGATGCTCGGACACAACCTGCTGGTACATCCCAGCCCTGCAGAGATGCCATTAGCACATCCTGGCCCCTGCTCCAGTCACACTCCTCGGCTGCACCACACAGGCTCTGCACCAGGGGAACAGTGGGAGAGCCACAGCCCTGCAGCACGGCTGAGTCTGGAGCTTCTGCCTTCCGCATCCATCCTCTGCCGTGCATTAAAAATAAAGCAATAAATAGCAAAAAATAGATATGTACATAAATAAAATAACATCTTTTTGTTTGGTTTTTTTTTTCCCTACAGGACCATCCGGAGCTGCCCACGGTGTTCAGCTGACGAGCATGGGGAGGAAGTGTGTGGAGAGGTGCTGCCGGCGTGTCTTGCTCCCTCGCTGTGGCCTGCCCTTGCTATTGAGCGAGAGGAACATGGGGCGGCCGCGGTGCCGCCAGCGCAGCGACGCGTAGGTGTTGTAGCCGTTCTCTTCGATGCGCTCCGTGAACTTGCAGTTGGGGCTGAATTCCTTCTGGCAGGAGAGGGAAGGGGGTGAGGGGTGGCTATGCTCAGCTGGGGGCCCTCGGACCCCAAGAGCGGGGCAGGGCAGGGCCCTGGCTCCTCCCTGATCCCCGGGGGGCAGAGGGGCTTGGTGGGTGCAGTCCCCTGCTGGGGAGCAGGTCAGGGCATGGGAAACCAGCCCTTGAGCCTCTGGCTCTGGTGCAGTCCCTCCCAGGAGGCAGCGTCCGACCTACCGACCCATAGAGCCTCCCCCGCTTGTTCATGGCCAGGTAGAAGCCGGTGTGCACCGCCCGGATGGCCACGACGCCAACACGCACCGACCGGATCTCGACGATGCCTGCAGGACAAGGAAGCATGGCATGAGAGAGGGACGGACAGGCAACCTCCCCGAGGGGCCCTGCCCCAATGCTGGGTCTGTGGCCGCAGTGTGCCTCCAGAGAGAGGGAGCTGCTGATCCTCACCCAGAGCCAAGCAGCCAGAGGAACAAGGGCTGCTGCGCAAGCTGGGAGTGGGAGGGGGAACCTCTGATCCAAGGAAGGTTTGATCTTTACTCCTCTCCTCCCCAGGGTCCAGCCACTTCCCAGGAGCCGGGCTGTGCGGGAGCGATGCCAAGCACAACCCTCATGCGTGTCCTCCCTTCACTGGCAGCTCTGCCCGTGCATCCATCCCCAACGCGCCCACAGTGCCCCGGGGACCTGACCTGCCTCCCGCAGCACCCGGCCCCGGCACACGCCAGGCACGGAGGCTGGTGTGGCTCCTGGAGTGGCAAAGTGTGCGCGGGGGTGGCAGCGACAGCACACATTGTGTTATGGTGGACAAAGACACGCCATACACACACAGAGGTCTGCAGTGGCAGGAATGGGCCGGGATAGTGCCGTCCGTGGATACCCGATTGCCTGGTGGCACAAGCGAGGACAAACGGCCCCGTGCCCAGCACTGCGGGCTGGCGGGTGGAGGAGCACTGCAGGACGTGAGGATGAGCCCGGGGGGCGGCTGCAGCCGGGCTACGAAGCCACAGCTGGGCTGGCGTGTGTGTGCCCCGACCGCCGAACTCCTGCTCGGCCGCTAATGGGAAAGGCATGCGGTCAGACCAGCGGCTCTGGCACGGGAAACACCCAGAGCATCATCGGGGCCTCTGGATTCCTGCAGTGCCTCACGCCGGCCAGCCCCGAGTGCCGCTGCCCGCCCTGCCGCCCGCCAGGCACACGGCGCAGTGCGAAGGGGAGAAGGAATGTCCAGTGAGAGCAATGTGGGCAGGGCAGCAGGAAGGGCTGGAGCCACAGCAGGATCTGCCTATGGACACCACTGCAGGGGCTGCCCCGGCTGGACAGAGTGGGAGGACACGCAGAGGCTCTGGCTGGTGGCGGCACACACAGCGTGGGGACTGCAGCCCCTGGACAAGGGCTTTCATCAACCTCCCAGCGTTGCTGGCATTCCCCGGGCATCATCTGCCTGCCGGAGGCTGCGAGCGGACAGGGTGGATACAGCACTGAGGCAGCGTGAGGGCTCCTGAGCATTCGGCTCCTGGGGATTTTCAGCCCAGCTGCTTCGGTGTTGCCACCGGTCCCGGCAGCCACCGGGATCCGCAGGGCCCGGCCCAGGGAAGCCACTGACGAGGCTGTGGAGGGGAAGGGCTGAGCGAATGCCTGTGAATCCATCCCACTTGATCACTGTCTGAAGCTGCTGCTATTTATAAGGACTTGTGCTTTTCTAAAAATAACCCCCTTCTGTTCCCAGTGCTCTAGCCGGCTCTGCCGTCCTTTGTTTGCAGGTGCCCGGACAGTACCTGGTCAGAGCCAGCTCCCAGTGCTCCCAGTCTCACACTCAGCCCCAGAGGGGTCTCGAGGAGGCTGGGGCAGATGCAGGGCTTGAGGTGGGGGAGTCCCTGGAAGATCCCCCGCCACCCTAGAGCTGCCAGTGGGGCTGGTCCAGCAGCTTCTGCGAGGGCTGTGGAGCAGAGCCCGCGCCCAGCCCAGGCGCACACAGATAAGCAGAGTGAGCCCCATGTACAGCCCGGAGCTGCTCCGCCTGCCAGGCCCCATGGCCACACCATCAGGGGAACGTGTTGGGGTGCTTTGTGCTGGCAGTGTGCCTGGTCGGGACTCCCGACAGCCTCCGACACCACAGGAGGGTTCCCTGGGCTGGGCTTGGCTCCCATGTCCTGTGGCTGCTGGGAGATGTCCTGTGCTGGCCGGGAGATAGTGCAGCCCCTGCTGGACCAGGACATGGGCTGGGGGTGCTGCAGCCCTCCTGCCCCAAACCCCAACACCCTGTCAGGGCACAGGGGAGATGTTCAGGCATCCCCCTTTCCCAAGGCCCCCAATATCCCCCTCCTTGTCCAGCTACTGTCCTGCCAGCCTGGTGCCCCTATCCCTGTCCAGGGGCTGGGACCCTGCACCCCCATGGGCGGCTGATAGCCAGGCACTTGCAGCCCTGACTCTTGCTTAAGTCGTACAGTGACTGCCACATCCTTGGGGACTCTGTCCCTCTGTCCACCCAGCTGTCTCTGTGACAAGTGCCAACCCACTCTGCAGGCAGGGGTTGCTCCATGGACCCCTCCAACAGGGATGTTCATCTGTCCCACATCTGACAGATGCCCCATTCTGGGACCAGCATCACCGCAAAACTTCTTACATCCCCCCCTCCTCCTCAGCCTTTCCTCACGCCCCCAGTGTTTTAGTGGGGGAACGATTCCGCGATCTCCCAGTCCTTGGGAAAGGCAGGGCAGGGGGGACATCAGGAACTGGCAGGACGAGATGGGACAAAGGACCCCCGAGAGACTCCCTAGGACACCCCAACGGCTGGGAAAGCAACGCCGGGTCCCCGGGCAGTGCCCGCCGGTGTCCGCGCCCCTCTCATGGCTCCCACAGTGCAGTGACGGGGGCGAGGGCAGCCGGCGCCGGTAGTGCTCCGGGAGCGGCGTGCCCCGGCCGGCGGGGACTGCGGGGACCCGCCGCTCTCGCGGAATAGACACTTCGGCTGAGATTTCCCCAGAGGGAAGAGCTGCGGGCTCTCTCCGGGCTGGGCATGGAGGGGTCCCGTCGCCGACCCGAGGCGCCTCCATCCAGCCTCCGCCCCCGTCCAGCCCCGGCAGCGCCCGCCTCTGCCTCAGCCCCGGCAGCCGGCGGGACCGGGCTCTCGCCAGCCGTGGGCGGGGGGCGGCCCCAGATCCCGGCTCTCCCCCGTGCCCGTCCCGGTCCCGTCCCCACTCACTGCCCGGCCGCTCCCTCCAGCGCGTCCCTTCCACGCCGCCGCCGCCGTCGATGCGCAGGAAGAAGCGGGTGGCGGAGAAGAGCCGCCGCCAGCGCACGTCGCCCTCCAGATGCCCGTAGCTGCGGGGGGGCCGCCGGCCGGTCCCGGTGGCACTGCCCGGCCCCGACCCCGGCCCCGCCAGCACGGCGAGAGCCCCGGCGAGGCAGGCGGCGATGGCGGCGGGGCCCCCGCGCCTCATGGCGGCGGGCGGCGGGCGGGCGGCGGGCGACGGGCGATGGGCCATGGCCACGGCGGCGACCGGCGATCGGCCCCGACGGCGCGAGCGGCCGGGGATGGGCGGCCCGGGGCGGGGCGGTGGCGGCGAATGGGCGGGACGGGGGCTGGGGCTGTGCCTCCCATTCATAAATCGGCGCCCCGACGGCTGTCCCGGGTCACCGGCCGCGGTCACTCTCCTACGACCGTGGGGCGTCCGGTTGGGGACTGCACACTTCGGTATCCGCCGTCAGCCGCGATGGGCGGACAAGGGACGAACGCCGCGGGCACAGAGTGTGGGAAGAGGTGGAGGGCGCGGTGCTGCTGTGGCCCAGGACCTGGGGACGGTGGTGTCCATCTGCGGCCCGACCCGAGAGGCGCCGAACTCGGGCCGGAGAGGCGCGGGTCAGCCGGGCTCCACCGCGTTCCCGGGCTCCGCCACCTCCCGGAGCCTCCGCCGTGTCCCGGGATCCGCGCTCGTACCGACCCACCCCGTCGGGGCCGCTACGGCCGCCAGGGGGCGCGGGTTGTGTTCGCCGCGCTGCACTATGGGAGCTGTAGTCCGGCTCGGCGGAACTCGCGCTCCCGGCGTGCCCCGCGCTGGAGCGGCGGGGTGGCGCGTGCGCGGTGGCGCGCGGCGCGCGCGGCCCGGGGATGTCGCTGCTGAGGCTCCGGGCGGTGCTGAGGGGCCCGGGAGGGCTGAAGGGGCCCGGTGAGCGGGAACGGGGACCGGGGCGGACACGGCGGGACGCGGAGGCACTAGAGGGGCATGGAGGGACCGGCGGGGACACGAGGAGACGGGGGCACGGCCCGAGTGTGCGGACGGAGCTGGGCCGGGACGTCCCACGATCCTGAGCGTTCTCTGGGATACACCTGGAAGATGGAAGGGTCTTTTAGCGTCGTGAGCGCCCCAGGGATAGACTCGGGCCTGTGGAAGTGCTGGGATTTGTTACTCTCCAAAGGACTGATACGGGAGCGCTGGGACCTGTCCCAGCTGTGGGATAGCACCTGACGGCTCTGGGGGTCTTGGGGTGCTGACACCCCGTTCACAGCTCTGGGGTTTGTGGTGTCCTTGGGGTCATGTTCCTTCTGAGCCTCTGGTTCCAGGGGGTGAGGGGTGTCCCTGTCCCTCCTGCCCTCCTATGCTGCTGCTGGAGCAGCTGAGCTGAGAAACATCCTCAGTCACTCTGTCCATGCTGTGTCCAGCTGGGGCCATGGGGCAGAGTGGGGGACAGGGAGTGAAGCTTCCTCTGACCCCCCTGTCTTTGCCTTCTTCCATGGCAGGGATTCCATGGAGAATCTTCAGGAGCTACTCCTCTGCCAGCACCAAGGAGAAGGAGAACAGAAATGGCACCTGTGAGAGGACAGAGCTGCTGGAAGGTCAGTGTTGGGAGAGCTGCAGTGAGCAGACAGCAGTCAGACCAGCCTGAGTTGTTGGTTTTAACCTGGCAGTGAGACTGCTGGGTTTCTGGGATGCTGGGGTGGGCCCCAGCTTGCAGGTAGATCTCAGAGGGACAGTGGTTGATATCTCTATCTGGGAGCAGGGCTGGCCAAGGAAGGATGAAGTTCTTGTGTGAACCCTTTTTTTTTTGAACATGATTCTGATACTTCCAGGGTGAGGACAGGACAGAGCCTTCTGCTGTGCCTTGTCTCTCATCACTTCTCTCTGTTTCCCACTAGTGCTCAAAGCTCGAGCGAAGCAACTCCAAGGCAGTAACGTCCCGGAGGTGACAGTCAACAAGGTGGAACTGGCTGCAGTGGACAATGACAAGTACCAGGAGGGTGTGGCCCCTGGCCCCAGGGAGAACCAGCCGATTCCCAGGGCACGGGGTGATGGCCTGGCCCGGTCCAGCGCCTGGGCCAAAAAGTTGCAGAAGGAGATGTACATCCAGCAGCTGAAGATGAAGCAGGAATTGCCTATTGCTGCCTCCCAGCTGGCTCTGGAGGACCAGGCCAAGACCAAAGCAAAATCCCTGAAGAGCCCAAAGATTCCAAAGATGAATGCAGCCACTGCCTGGAACCAGAGCTCTGGCAGCCCCCACAGCAAGCCCAGGGTGGTGGAAGCAAAGGAAGCTGCAGAGCTGAAGAGGCCTCAGAGCATGCCAAAGGACAAGAGTAACCAGCAGGTCCTGCAGCAGACCATTCAGTCCAACCTGGAGTGCTTCCAGTTCCTGCAGCAGTCAGAGGAGGCCGAGCGGTACCTCCTGCTGTGCCACAGCTCTCCAGTGAAGAAGAAGGTGCTGGACATCGGTGCCTACAACATCGTGATGCGCATCTGGGCCAAGAAGGTACCGAGCCATGGGTGCTCCAGGTGGGAGAGGGGCTGGCTCGTGAGGAAGAGCCTCCAGCTGGTTTTACCTGTGGTTGTCACTTCAGCAAGTGTTGAAGCAGTGCTTCTGGCAAGGGGGACTGAGGTAGCATGAGGCCACAGGTCCGTGTGAAGTGGCTTTGAGAGGGAGAAGGGAGTGGGGAAAGGGTAGGGTGGATATGGCTAAATCGGAACAGGAGTAGAGGGGCATGGAGCTGTGACTTTAGGGCCACTGGTGTCAGTGTCCACAGCCTCCTTCCCTTCTCAGTGTCCACAGCCTCCTTCCCTTCTCACCTGCAGGGCTGCTTGAATCGCATCGACCGATTGTTTTCTGTGCTGGAGTCCACCGGCCTCCGGCCCAACTTGGACTCCTACGCGGTGGCCCTGGTGTGCATGGGTCGGAACCAATCTCCTCCCAAAGTCATCTTGAGGTAACACCTGCCTCAGGTGCTGCTGAGCCTTGGGGGCAGCAGTTCCACATCCTGTGCTTGGAGAATGGGAGATGCAGTGGGTTGGGGTCAGGAAGAGCTGTCTCTTCTGTGTTCCCATCTGGATGCTCTGACCCACTTCTCGTGGTCAGATTTTGGGGTGGGCAGAGCATCCTCCCTGCCATCCCAGCTGCTGGGGAGTTTGTCTGAGATTGTGCACAGAGAGGAGATGTGGAAGGTGAGAATAGGCACTGTTCTCCCCAGAGCTGGGCTGGGAGAGGCCTTCTTCAGTCAGGAACTCCTTGGTTCCACACCCATCCCAGGCATCTTGCTCTGTCTGGCCCCTCCATTGCTGCCTGCTGGGGCTTGGCTTCTCCATTTGTTTTTATGGCACTTGTGTGGAGTTTGCTCTTTTTGGCGGGCTCAGTCACACACCTGGTTCCTGCAGGGCTCTCCAGAGGAGCTTGGTCAGGAGATTCGAGTAGATTTCATGGAGCATAATGGACAGGAAAGTGTCAGTGCTAAAATAAGCAGCTAAAAGAGCCCTGGAAGATCCCACAGGGTGGGCCTAGGGGCAGTGCCCGGGGCTGGAGGCACAGCCAGCTCCTCTCCAGAGGATGGAGAAAGCTTCTGATGCATTAGTGCTGAACCTCAGGGATGTATCACTGGCCTCTCTGTCCTTTGGCTGCTGACAGGTTCTAGATGCCTTCAAGGGAATGTCTCCAGTCCGCTGATTCTGAGGGGGGTGGCAGTGACTGTGCTGGACGGTGTGGGAGCTGTGGCAGTGCAGCACAGGCTGTGGGGCTGCCTGTGGGCAGCTGGAGTGCTGCTCCTGCAGTGGCTGGAGCTCAGCCTGCCTGCCCGGGGAGCTCTGCAGCAGTGCAGGCTGAGGGATGGACACCTGATCTCTGTAACCTGAGGCGGGTGACCTTGTGGGACGGGCTGTGCTGAGACAGCTCTTGCCCTGGCAGCTTCTATACAACATGCTTGGGCTCTTGGGGAAGATCAAGCCTGTCTTGTCTGCCCCTCCTCAGATACCTGCAGCAGCTGAACAGCAGTGGCTTCCATGTGGATGAGCTCTTCCAAAAGTGCCTGTTTGAGGAAGATGAGAAGGAGATGGTGCTGTGGGCCATCAGGACTGTCCAGCCCAACTACCAGCTGCCTCCTCCACCCAGCCCCGAGATCTCAAAGTCTTCTCTGCTCCAAGACTTCTATTCCAGAGTAAGCCACAGCGCTCAGGGAGGTGTTGACGCTGGTGGTGGTCACAGGTGTTCTTAGGTACAGCCCAGGGGAGGGCTAAAAAGGAACAAGCTTTTAATCTGATCTCTGCTCAATAGCCCACACAAATCATCAAATTAATGACATTACCTACAGCCTCACAGGGGAACAGCAAAGCAGAGGGCTTGCAGGGGGCTGGAGATGAAGCGGGAGGTGCTTGGGGAGGTGCTTGGCCATAACACAGGAGCAGAGCAGCCTCTGGGGTTTGCCTACCACAGACCTCTGGACCCAGAGGTCCCAGCAAGGTGCTTTCAGCCCAGAATTGTACCACAAGCCTCTTGCAGGGAAGCTGGGAGAATGAGCACGGCTTCTCTTCCTCCTGCTTTTGGCATTGACTGCCTCTCTCCCATTGCAGGAGACAATGGTGTCATACCCCAAGCTGGATTTCTCCAGGAAGGAGTTGCAGGAGCGCTTCCAGCAGCAGCTGGAGATGGAGCTGAAGAACACCATAACCATCGAGTCAGTGGAGGCAGCCAAGCCCCTGACCCCACAGGCTATCAAAGCGGTAAAGGATCTGGGGAAAGCCCTCAGGGCCTGTGGGTGGCAGCTGAGGGTCCATGAGCTGAAGAGGGGGCAGCTCATGCTAACCAACTCCCTTCCTTCCTTCTCCATGCAGCGTAAGCTGCTGGGCACCCTCCGCTCCCAGTGGCACGGCGCCATCCTCCAGGCCCTGCAGAATTCCAAGCGCAGCATGGCCAGGCCCAGGAGGCTGTCAAAGTACAACATCCTCTACCCCTACCTGTGTCTGCTGCCAGATGAGGAGTATGTGGACATCATGATGCAGGTAGGAGCCTGCCCTGCCCTCACAGGAGTGGGGCTGGACTATCAGCCATGGGGCTGGCACAGAGCACTAATGTCCCACTTCAGCCATCAGAATTGGAATTTCCTGAGAGTTTTATCAGGTTCTTAGGTGCAGGCTGTCTGCTCCTTCTACAGAGCAGCCAGAGAAATCCATGCTCTGTCCTGGTTGTT